TTTTTTAAACAGTGATGATGTAATGGTCCTGAAAATGAGAGTCACAAATCCTCTCCAGTCAAGTGGTACAATCTCACAGTCGGTGTAAAGTGCTAATGGCTCCCTCTAGAGGCTGAAAAGATTATTACAGTCATAATTTCCTCATGGATGTAAGATTTTAAAGCTTTAAAAACAGCAATCTTTCCTCTGTCTTTAGCCACACAAATGTAAGGACATGTTTCTGAGTGGCCCTTAAGCTATGTGTCCAGTATATATAATATCTCTAACAGAGGTTCCCAAACAGTTTCCTGGAGGAGGAGGCCAAAATCCAATGGCCAGATGTGACATGGGATTTTGCAATAACTGTATAGCATTAGTGTAATTAGTTCAAATATTATGAATTCACGTTTAATTTGTTATCCACATCAATTTTCCTAAAAAAGTGTTCCAGTGGCAATTTGGTGGGAATTATGTGATCACGATAGATCAAAGTTTCTGGTCATGGTCAAATAATCGGCAAAATACCCTCATAATGTGACATAATTAACCATATAATCAAGCAGAAGTCTAGCCACAATGGTAAATTGACTGCTTTTCTACTCTACTATACAACATGCCACATTCACCCAATCACACAAGCACTGACTCTAAACTGAGTGCTTTTCTGACGACATTCACACAAATTCACTGATGTTTCTTGCTCAAGGAGGAGCCAGAGGTTCGAACCACCAACCTTCCGATCAGTAGGTGGCCTGCTCTACCTCCTGAGCTACAGCCACCCCATGGTTGTACAATGTATGTTAAATCAAGTTGGAAATTTCACCAACCCTTATGGCTGCTTCTTGGTCTTAACGTGCCAAGCAAGTTAAAGAGCTACTTAGAAAGCAAACATTGATCACCTCAATTGAGCACTAGTCTCCACCACAGGCACCAAAACTGCTTGGTGGATTGTGTAATAGTGTGCAGCAGGGGTGGCAAAAATACAGAAATTCTGTACTTAAGTAGAAGTACAGATACCTATGTTAAAAATAAAGAATGTAAAAAGTAGCTCCTTGAAGGACGTTTCTACCAGCTATTTTTGTGTAAAGCTAACCGAAACTTGTGTTATATTAATGTAATAATAAAATAATATTAGTAGATAGGAATACAAATTTTAATTTAAACTAATTTTTATTTCTAATTGTACTGAGCTTGAACTTGTTAAATAGAACATGAGCAAAGAAAAAGACGGAAAATAAAAGTAACTCTATTTTCTGTTGCCTACGCTGTAGAGAGTGACTTTGTGTCTAAACAGCAAAATGACGGTGGGGGTGGAGGAACCCTAAAATGGCTCATTATGGTGAAAAGAATCACAGCTCACGATCATTTCTATTCAGCACTCCAGTAGATTTTCTTAATGCACAGACTGAGATCAGCTGACCTGCTGCTGCTGCTGGTCTGAGGTTTACTGCTCTTTGTAGATTTACACTAAACTGAATTCAAGGAGATGTAAGTTATAAGTTGTCCACTAACAGAATTTTTTTTTTTAACATTATACTGAACAAAGCTGGTCTGAAGATGGAACTCAGTGAACGAATCTAAGCAACGTGATGTAACCTAACTCTGACCATGAAACCACAGCCACTGTGCACCAATTGCACACTTACTTTAAATCCATCACAGTACAGCAAACTAACCTGTTTATCCTGCACTAACCTGCAGAGTATTACTACCTTCATATAACACAGTCAGTCTACCTCAGTTTGATTTACAGCATGTTTCGCAATATGAAAAAACTTAATGTGACACATACAGACCCAATATCTGATTTAAAAACATGAGGACTTACATGTAAGCTTTAAATTTCCAATTTATCAAGTCTTTCTCCTTCCTCTCCTGTCCTGTCTTTCTTATCTTTCTCCATCGCTGACTGAAATGAGCTCACTCTCTTTTCTCTCCCTGTGAAATGCATCAGCTGGACTTTTACCTAGCAACACACTGTATGACAACTGCACACAAATTTGTTTGTGTTTTTGCTGATGTTTGTTGAATTTAGAAATGCTGAATCTAAAATTACCTGCTACAAAATGTTATTCCCTTAATGTTTGCTCCTCTTCTGTAGCGCTAGCTAGATGCTGAAGTACTGTGACCTTCAGTCGTTTATGGGAATTTTTTACTATTCTTCCAGATGTTGGACGTGGACGAGAAGTCTCCACTCTAATTTATCCCAGAGATTTTCTTTCAGGTTGACGTCAGGACTCTGTGCAGGTTAATCTTCCACATCACGTCTTCTACACTAAATTCACTCTATGTCTTTATGACATAGAATTTAAAAAATCATAAAGATATTTATTACATCTATTAATTTGAGTCTTTTAACATGGGAGTTTGTTGGGAATGGGGTAGGGTTAGGGTTAGGATGACAGTCTCAAGTGGCCAATAGAAGAACTGCAATAGCTATAGCTTTGTTTCTAGAGCCAGAATTTGTCACTGAAGTCACTATGTTTGTTAAGTAGGATTTCTTCTCCCCCAAATGTCTGCAACAGGTTCATTTTTCATCCCTGCATGCATCTTACACAGCAGCAACAACATTCTTACCAGGTGTTGTGGGTTTTCAAAATGCAGAGGTTGGTGGGTCCATAGACAGGGTTTTCAACACTGCACCCGCTCCTCATTTGATTCTGCAGCCTATTCACAGCTGAGTGACCTGATGAGGGGGAGAAAGGAGAAGTTTGCTTTAAAAGCCATTGGTGATATTGAAAATACTGAGTTTGACAGATTTTTTTATACTTTAAAAATGTGTTAAACAGAGAGTTTCTAAGTGGAATCCTGTTGTTTTAGAGTCTGTCCATGCTTGTGAGGTGAAGGGTAGGATTATAATAACTGTGTCCATGTTCTCCAAATGAGCTGCTCTTGTGGTTGTAAACAAGCCCTCAGGGTAACAGTTTTCCCTCTGATTGGCCAGCTGGCTAATTGACTGTTAATGGTTTCTTCACTATAAGCACCAACGCTAAACAGACAATTAAAGATGACCATGTGGGCGACTGGAGGAGTGTGTGTGTGTGTGTGTGTGTGTGTGTGTGTGTGTGTGTGTGTGTGTGTGTGTGTGTGTGTTTCAGTAATATATTCAGCTTTTTGTTTGTCAAA